GACAGTTACTGACAGCGAAGACAATTACTGCAGCAACGACAGTTAAAGTTACGGCAGAAACGACAGTTTAAGTTACTGCAGCGAAGACAGTTACTGCAGCAACGACAGTAAAAGTTACTACAGTCAACGACAGTTTAAGTTACTGCAGCGAAGACAGTTACTGCAGCAACGACAGTTAAAGTTACTACAGCAAAGAAAAAGTTACTGCAGCAAAGAAAAAGTTACTGCAGCAAAGAAAGTTACTGCAGCGAAGAAAGTTACTGCAGCGAAGAAAGTTACTGCAGCGAATTCACCGGTGGTCAGATCGGTTCAGCAAATAAGATTTCCGCTCTCCTATTTTCGGCTACCTTCTTCCCCCGAATACAACGTACGGTCATTATAGCTGTATTTGAGGCATCTTTCTGTCTAGATACAGCCATAATGACCGTACGTTGTATATTCGGGGGAAGAAGGTAGCAGATTAGTCCGTTGCGAAATTTTCAATGATCAGACTTCCCCACTCTATTTTTTTTTTTCTATTTTCAAAAAAAAAAATGGCGACAGCCTTGAAATATCATCAGTGAACAGACCAGCCCCATACGTTAATTCAGAATGATTTTATTCTGTTCATCATCTGATTGTATCTGGATTCGAACTTGGGTCTGATTCATAGTATTTCAATAGTTCACGGGCGTACCAACAGAATGATTTAAAAAAAAAAAAAAAAACAGAATGATTTTCTTCCGTTCATCTGACAGTATCTGAATTTTGAATGCATATGGACATTGGCTCTGTCCGCCTGAGGTGCAACTAGGGCCCGTTGGTGAATTTGCCACTTTCGGAGAGAAGACTGAGGCCCCTTAGTTGCACCACAGGCCATCCGCCAAGATTTTGAACGCATGCGGACAGAGCCAATGTCCATATGCATTCAAAAGTCTGGGGCGACATTGGTGGCGAGTGATGCAACAACCGTCTTCACCTAAATAGAACGCCCGGTCATTACTGCTGTACCTGGACTGAAAGTTGCACCAAATACAGCTTTAATGACCATGCGTTCTGTTCGGGTGAAGACCGTAGGTCCTGAAAATCTGATCAGGGAGAGAAGAGATGGAACGGGTGGCGAGCGGTGCAACTACCGTCCTCACCCAAATAGAACGCCCGGTCATTATTGCCGTACCTGGACTGAAAGTTGCACCAAAATACAGCGAGATAGGTGGGGAATGAACAGAGGAAAAGAACCAGAAACAGAGAGGAAGCAGGTGGCGGGGAGAGAGGGAGATGCATAGCAGAGAAGGACGACCGTTGATCGAGAGGAAGAGCATGCACATATCACCGTTAAAAAATTGTGCAATGGCGCGCAGTAAAAAATCGTGCAATGGCGCACAGTAAAAAATCGTGCAATGGCGCGCAGCTATGAACACGCACTGATGTGTTCACACAGATCAGATATTAATTCGTTGAGAGAAAACAAAGCCTCCTCCTGTCAAACAGTTTTCCTTTTTCTTCAAATCAAAGCACAATCCAAATTTTAAAAAAATGACAAAATGAAAACAAACCCCAAAGAGAGAGGAGCACTCAAGTTGAAATATATTAATGAATTAGAGGAGGACAGAGAACGATGGCCCAGCCAGACGAACCGTTGAGCGGTGAGAGAGGGAGAGGAATTGGGAGGCGGAGGAGGAGGAAGGAAAAAAATCGGCCAGGATACTGGGCCGTGCAGGCTAAAGTGAAAAAACCTGGAAGGAGGGAGTTGTCAGAGTTATCCTCAAATCGAATGCGTATTTATTGGCGGGAATGCGCACACGAAGCGAGGGACAGAGCTAGTCTCCATTGGCGGGAATGCGCAGAAGAAGTGAGTGAAGTGAACGCAACAAATAGCTTGCATTGGCGGAAGTGGGGGCTGGTTCCATTGGCGGGAAAGTGCACAAGAAGCAAAAAGACAGGGAATAGCTTCCATTGGCGGGAATGCGCACAAAAAGTGAAGAAGGCGGGAAATAGCTTCCATTGGTGGGAATGCGCACAAATAGTTAAGGCGGGGAATAGCTTCCATTGGCGGGAATGCGCACACAAAGTGAAGAAGGCGAGAAATAGATTCCATTGGCGGGAATGGCAGTGTAAGCACAGGGGGAAAAGGAGCAGAAAGAAGTGGAGCAATGGCCAAAGAGGCGGGAAGGCGACTACTGGACGGAGGGATGAGAGGGAGTGGTGGGAGGAGAAGTGGTGGGCAAAGCACAGGGGGAGAGAGAGAGAGAGAGAGAGGAGAGAGAGGCAGTGGAAACGCCAGTGAGAGGATAGGAGGCGGCAGGTGAAAAAATGCACACCAGAGAAGTGAATGGAGTGATAGACAGGCAGCGAGAGGAGTGAGTGAAAAATGTGAAGTAGGAGAAGATCTCTCTCTCTCTCTCTCTCTCTCTCTCTCTCTCTCTCTCTCTCTCTCTCTCTCTCTCTCTCTCTCTCTCAGGCGCCTGTGCGTGATTGGGACTGACTGTCTACGAGAGCACAAACAAACACTAAAACAACCGGAAGGAAGCTCCAGGGGCGAGGTCCCACTAGCACAGAGGATCAGATTAGGCATCTGAATCTGGCCGTTTTTCACGCAGAGATGCAGAAAAGCAATTCAATCTCAATTTTCTGCACCTCTCCAGACCCATGCATTCAATCCAATCCCCTTTGCTAGTGAGACCTCGCGTCAGGAGCTCAAGTCCTCCAGGGGCGAGATCCCACTAGCAAAGCGGATTAGATTAAGCATCTGAATCTGGACGTTCTTCACGCAGAGATACACAACGCAGTTCAATCTCCATTTTCTGCACCTTTCCATAAACACGTTCAGATCCATGCATTCAATCCAATGCCCCCTCTGCTAGTGGGACCTCGCGCCAGGAGCTTAAGTCCAACTCAACTTTTAACAGATAAAGGAGAAAAATACTAAGTAATACTTGTTATAGTAATGCCCGTCGATCTTCTTCGTTACCTACAATGCACGTAATTTTCTGCACCTTTCCACAAACACGTCCASATTCAGGGCMTTTYRWTGTCTTCCAGATGCGTTAGATTGGGGAGACGTCGATCTTCTTCGTTACCTACAATGCACGTAATTTTCTGCACCTTTCCACAAACACGTCCAGATTCAGGGCATTTCGATGTCTTCCAGATGCGTTAGATCGGGGAGAAAAGGGAGAGGATTCTGCACCTTTCCACAAACACGTCCAGATTCAGGGCATTTTGATGTCTTCCAGATGCGTTAGATCGTGGAGAAAAGGGAGAGGGGAAAAGGGAATCAAGCCAAGGTTTGCCCAGAGGATAGACGCCTTGTTATCACGACTTCACGATCAAAAGTTTTTGGACTTAGCATTTTTTTATTTTTATTTTTTTTAATTTTTTTTTACTGTAGCATGTTGAGAACACTACGGCGCAGTCAAAAGGGCACTTGAGTTTGTAATTGCACTTGAGTTGAGTCAAAAGGGCCGGTATATTATGCTGAATGTATATGACCTACGTTTCGGGTCCGGTCCGGTGCGGTCGCGTGGGGGTGTGTTGTATTCGCCGCCGCGGGATTGCCTGAAGTGGAATTACAAACTTTTTTCGTGACTGCGCCCAAGTTACCCCTACCGTCTTCACAACCGGAATAGAACGCCCGGTCATTATAGCTGTATTTAGCACAACTTATTGTCCAGATGCAGCGATAATGACCGGGCGTTCTATTCGGGTGAAGACGGTAGCATTTTTCATCAAACACGATCAACCGGGATGCCAAAATGTTCAGCCAAATTATTCTTCCTGAATGAGACACATTCAATCGAATGAGGTATGCAAACCTTCTCAAAACAAAATACAGGGTTTGATTCAAGCGCGTAAAACAGAATCATCTCATCGTACTTCGTCGTCAGTGATTTCATAACTGAACCAGTACTACGAGTCTATTAGTTCTTCAAAAAAGACAAAAAGAAAAAAAGGGAGTCTATTTTTAGTAGTACTATGTTCGATATGAGAAAGATTAGATTTCGCGGTGTCGGGCGAAGTCCGTTATTACTACTGTAATTATCCTGTCATCCTTACTTCTTTACGTTTTCATCAATCTTCATCAGTTTGAGATTTCAGACCATAGTACACAGATTCTTTCTCTACGGAAGCAATCGACGACCGAGAGGAGGAGGAGACGGAACGGAAACGGAACGAAACGAAAAGGCGGGTGGACATTGTATGCGG